GACACAATACTCTGAACTTGCTTCAACATCTTGCTTTATTTCTAGAAGGTACCTTCTTAATTGCTTCCTAATTGCTACAGCATATATAATACTCCCAATGAACCCGGATTTTCTGCCTTTCTAGCAGTGTTACAACTTTGTTCTACAGCTACCCTGGCAAAATCATAATCTATTTGACCTTCTCAGCTTTTATACTGTCATATCGTGGTGTTTGGTTTTACCTAATTCAGTTGCCTAAATCTTCACTGAATAAGTTCTCTAGCAATAATTCAGAAATGTTGTATTTGTGCTGTCCCAGTTTTCTCAACTCCATTTAAAAAAAAAAAAAAAAAACTTAGGCTCTAGCTTTATCACAGCAAGAAAGCACATTAGTGAATCTATAAACGTTTTATGATGAAATATTATTCTAGAAACATCTTGTTGAAGTCTCAATCTGCTAGTATTAGGAGAAATTAATGCAAAACAACTTCTTTACGAGGATAGCAATTCCACCAAATAGTTATAATTGCTTAAGTGAAGTGATGCTACTCATACCTGGTGGCCACCATATCTGTGAGCCAATGGAATGGATCCAAACACTATCTTTTCACCACTTACAAGGTAGATGAAATCATCTGTTTCTAAGACAGATAAATCAAGGTCCAAAATATCTTCTAGAACTTCCTGAGGCAGGAAAAAAAAATCCTTCCTATAAACATAAGTAAATTCTTTAATAATTTTCAAGCAAAGTGAATTAATGAAAGAAAATTGAGAGAATAAATCTCTTCCAAAATTACATTATTAATATTTTCTTCATAAGAGATATACCATACTTTCTATCATTATTTGATAGTGTGGAAACACAGCTCTATTATATGGCTCTAAAATTTTTATGAATTTCTTGTGACTCACGGTAAAATAGTATTTTGCCTGGCACTTTTTTTTTTTAAGGAACTAAAAAAAAAAGAAATGTCTCGTTTTTATCCAAAAATCATTTGTATCATGAGAGAACAACTCAGAATTTGTTACAAAAAACCATATCTAGAGGTTCTCTGAGGTGAGAATTTAACTAATTTCCCCTTTCTTTCACAAAATTGTATTTTCCTTATAACATTAAGATGAAACTGAGTACTGTGTTCCAGGTGTAAGTATCAAAAAGTAACTTGTGAGAATAACATTTTCCAAGAATCTGAATTTCATATACACATCATTTATCAACAGACTGACCACATTAACTCTGAAAAAATATATTAATATTTTTGAGACAAATGTTACAGTACGTTGGTTGACTCAAGTATTTGTACTGTGAAAAAATAAAGCCTAACCTCTGAAACTGCTACAAGATGTACTCTTGATTTGAAAGGAGTAGGGAAGGCAACTGAAAAAATACAGTTTTTCACTTTACAAACATAATTTTCTTTTATAGGATCAACTGGCAACACAGCTGATAAAAAACAAACAAATAACACCCTCTTAAAGTTCTCATTTATTGCATGTATAGCATTAATATTCCTTAAAAAGGTAACAGTTCTTCAAGATAATAAATTTAAACCACTATTTCTTTTATATTTTGTTCCTTAAAGGCTATTTAATAATCTGCAACAATATCTAGTCAATATTCATATAGTACAGTATATGGAACTGCCCAAGCGGATGGGGGATGCAAAAAGCTTAGAACAATAAGATACATACCCTATCTTCAAAGATTTTTCACTCCCAGGAGACGAACAGAATGTACAACATATTAGTAAATAAGAATATAAAAATAAAATGAAACTAAGCTGCATTAAAGTATTAGAATTATAGTAATATCCAATTCAGTGGAATCCAAACAAAATATACAGTACCAGGCACTTAACCACATGCTCTCTGCCCTTCAGAAACTGACAACCAACTGAGGGAAGTAGACACAGACATAAAGAACTCTAACACCAGAAGACGTTTTACTAGATGTACATACCATCGGGATCACACCAGAAACTTCACAACGTGCCTGCATGCAAGCCTAGAAGTTTAAAAATTGCCTCTGAAGAGACAGTATGTTTCATAAAGTCCTTGCACTAAAAAGCGCATGTATTTTATTTAAAAAGCTACAGAAGAAAAAAAAAAGAGCGAGATCATTGAGCATCCTTTAAATAATCAGAACATATTTACTCATATTTTAAGTACAATTCTTAAAATTTTAATCTGCTTTCCTAATCTAAAGCAATTAAAACTAAAACAACGAGAAGAGGGCAGGTGTATTAATAAAAGCACAAGAAAATATTAAAGAACACAAAAACATTATGTTTCTGGCTAGAGATTATGTTGTAAAGATGTCAGTGTTCCCAATTATTTAATAAAGATACTGGAAATCTAATAAAAATTCTAATAGGATTTTTTTGAATATTTTTGAAGAAACAGATGAACTTATAAGTACAAATCTGGAAAAAATAAACACATTACATTTCTTAAATAAAAAAGAGACAGAAATGGGAGAGTTTGCTTATCATATTAGAAATTACAAAAATACAATAACTAAAAATATTATTAGCCCAAAAATAGATGGAAAGATCAATGGACTCAACAGAAAGCACAGAAACAGTCCAAAGTACATATAAGAATTTCCTATATAACAAAAATATGTCAAATCAGTGGAGCAAGGTGGCATTAACAATCTGCTCAACTGTTTGGAACAATTCCTATTCATTCCACTCAAGCCTAGGTTAACTAAAAGTCAGTTATAATAGCGGTAAGACCTATCTTGTATCTTCCCTATAAAGGAAGCTATATGAGTAATAAAAACAGGCAAATGTGGGCCAGAATTAACCCTTTATACTTTCCCTTATGTACATGGTAAAAATGGCAGCAACATGAGAGAATAAACGGGTAGTCAACCAAAAAATGCATGATTTCAGCATCTGCCACAGAAAACCTGACAATACGATTAAGAGAAGCACATCCAACAGTGTATTTTCTTCCACAAGAGAGCCTCTGTGTGGAAATGGACTAAATTATGTAATTAACACACTCTCCTTTATGATGCTCTAACATTTTGACAGGGCGTAGACAGCATAAAGTGTCCCATTACTAGTTATGATTTTGTACTGATTGATTCATATCTGACACAGTAGCTGATCAGTTAATACCTGCCATCAATGGCCATGGACCAAAAAAAGGCTAACTGCTTCAAAGGTATACAACCCTCACCCTTGTTACAATTTACTAATCAGTCGCAGGCTAAAAACCCCAGAGAAAATGCCAAAAACATATTAACCCTTTATCAGTAATTCAAAAAATGAATTCTTTAGGATTCACAACTTTGCAAAAGAATACAAAATCTACAAAAACGGCTAACCTTTCAATGCAACTATGTTTGAACCTCTTGTTTGTACTAGTGTTCTTGATAATTCATTGATTATTGACCTAACAACATCAGGATGAAACGTGTTATGAAGTACTGTGAACCAAGACTCGGTAATATACAAAGAATTATATTTATCATTTCCTCTTAGCTGTAAAACATGCTACCGCAGATGGCACATTTTGAACAGTAACATCAATACGGCAAGAAAATGTCTTAAAAGTGCAGTCAACCTTACAACACTGAAATGACAAATTTTTTGAAAATGCTTTCAATTACATACTTATTTCATTTTTATCAGTATGTACAACCATTGGAACTCACCCTCAGTTCTCCAGTAAAAAAAAACCTGGCAATCTGCCCATAAAGATTACAGCCTAGGAAACCCTATGGGTCAGTTCTACTCTGTCTCATAGGGTCGCTGTGAGTCAGAATTTACTGAACAGCACACAACAACTGGTTGTTTCGTTTGCCTAAGTGCAACAAAAAAAGATCAAAGTCGTTTCTAGACTGTGCTCAAGAGAAGTCTGCTCTTTAGTAGCTACCTGCACAGCTTGGACAATGCTCTTAAATTCCTAGACTCGTTCTTGGCTTAGTTGGGTCAAAAGAACTACTTCAGATTTCTGCATGCCCTATTGATGGGATATTGCTATTTACCAAGAGTTTACTTACACTGTTGGAAGCCTTAACAATTTCTTCTGCTTCCCCTGCTTAAGCGTGCCATACTATGTTTTTAAGACCCAGGTTTTTTGTTTTAAATTTGGCTAAAACAATCTCTAAATGAAAATGGTCTGACAATTGTGCAATACTACACTTACCAACTGTATATCCTTGGGCAAGATACTTACTCTATCTTAATCATAGATCTCGGTTGTAAATACTGTCTCTCTTTGCCATGAGAAGAGTAGATCTGGCATAGAGCTAAGAAAGGAAGGTCTTTCTAACCCATATGGTGTACCAATCTTGTACAATCTACGTATCTCCTGGGCTGGCTACAAGTAGGTTCAACATTGCCAAATATTAAAAATTTCACACAGCTCAATATACCTAACAGTGGGACTCACATACGCAGATGTGAGCAAGACTGCCAAACTACCAAACAATATACCTATAATGTTTTCAGAGGAGAGAGTCCAGAAGTCGAAAAGTGAGGCTAATTAGACTTCTCTTTCACAATAGCCCTGATGCTGTTTTGACTTGTTACAGGTAAGGTGTATAAACTGACACTTCCTTCAAGGACAGACTGCAACAGGCAGCAGACGATAGCGTGTTCGGTCACAGCCAAGAGAAATCGACAAAGAAACTGGAGCCTCCAGGCTAACCAGCAGAGCGGGAACCAAACACGCAGAACAAGTCAGTTGACTGGACGTTTGGCGCTCTGTGATAGTTCTTGCTAATAGTCGTTCTCCAAAAGGAACATTTTTGCTGTTACTGCTTTAGTTTATGGATCCTCAAAGCGGCAGGGAGGGGCTCGGGGGTCACTCTTAGCTTCTCCTGGGCCAGGCCGACGGGCCGAGCCGCCGCCGCCAATTCCCTGAACCGCGCGGGGGTCTCGCTCTCGCTGTCAACTCGGCCTACGAGGCGCCCGAAGTTCGGTGAGGACTGCGGCCCAGCCCCTGGGAGGAGCGAGAACATGACGCTCCGAGCGGGGTGAAGCCGAAGCTCTTCCTGTGCTAGGTTTCCGGCTCCGGGTCCCGGGAGGAGGAGGACCTTCGGGGGCCATAGGCGGGGCCCCCGCCGCTGCCGCGACTTTCAGACTCTAACCATGGCTTCGTGCTTGTGGCCCTGGCGGCGCTGCTGCTCCTGGAGGCCGGCCGCGCGGAGCCCCGAGCCCACCGCTCCGGGCCGTGCGGGGTCGTCCGGGACGCGCTCCTCGTCGGGTGCCCGCACGAAGGTGAGGCGGGCCAGCGCGCGCAGAGGCCGGGGCGCAGAGGTCACCTAGCCGATGACAGCGGCGCCGCGGAATGAATGGGAGCGAGCGAGCACGTGCGCCCGGGTCGGGGCGTCCCGGGGCCGGGTGGAGGGTACCTGGCCTGTGGGCGGAGGGCCACGGGGTTGGCCTGAGGTGGGGCGCGAGGGTAGCTGGTTGCCTGGGATGAGACAGAGCCGCGCGCTGTGATGGGATGGGGTCGCCGCCGAGCGTTTGCCTGAGGGAGGGGCGCCCCACGTTGGGGCGCAGAGCGGTATCCTTGGGAAAGAGGAGCATTTGGGATTTGAGCAGGATGCAGCAAGGAGGAAAGTACCGGAGGAAACAAAGAAGTGGTCAGATTGTCTCCTTAGTGTATGGACAAAGATACAAGTTACGGTGGGCTTGAGAAGACAGAGTTTACCGGGAACTTTAGAGAAAAAGGGGCTCCGAGAGTTCAGAAATACGGAGGATCAGATTGGCCTCGGACTAGTCAGAAAAGGTCTTGGCGGAGAATGCAGGTCTGATGCCAAGAGTGGACGAGGTTTTACTCGTACAGCACTTGGTTAGGAGGTCGAGCATACCTGGATGGGGGTGGGAAGGGTAACAGAAGGAGAAAAGGTATGAGGATGTCGGAAATAGAGAAACTTGAGGTTATCTTTAAATTTGACCAAAGTCAAATCAGAATCCCAGCAATAACTTTTGACACTTTGAAGCTCTTCTCTACTGCCTCCCACACTTTGGACTCAATCTCTTTTCTCCCTTTCCAGTCCATTTAGCATCTGTAAGTTGACATGATTTTATGGTTTTGTGAGTTCTGCAGTTGGTAGTGATTAATTCTCAACGTGCCATGGAGTATACCCATTTTGTTAAGCATAACTGCACAATATCTATGAACCCACAGGGCCCTTTAGAAATTGTATTAGTGTTGGGCTGCCATCTGAGAAGCCTCCCCACCACCACCTTTTTTTTGTTTGTTTGAATTTAAGACTCTGGTTTCAGTCAGATTTGGTACACTTCATACTTCCATGTACCTGTCAAACATCATTTACCAATATGAAATTGTAATATTTTATCACATGTATAAATGTCTACTTTGTACCAAAGTTGATACATATTATCCAAAATAGACATTTGGAGAGAGAATAGCAGCTGGCTAGTGAGCAGTCTAGACAGTAACCTTTTTGGGATATGTTACATTCCTAAAGAAAGAATATACAGGCTGTCCCCAGATTATGAGGATTATGAACAAGGTCTATTCCTAAATCTGTCTTTAAGTCGAATTTGTACGTAAAGTGGAACAGTTAGTACGGTTCATATCTACCGTCAGTCAAATGTTTATCTTAGTGTATAGTATATAGTGTACCTTTCTATGCATAAAAAACAAAGAAGCACTTTTAGATACACTAAAACATCTTTACCATAATAATACAGTAATAATAATAATGTTTTGATGTGTGTCATAAAGTAGCACCTATTTGTTAATACAAACAAATGTCTGTACCTTGAATTTTTAACATAATAGGCTTTACCGGGTTGGTTCGTAAGTACAGGTCGTGTGTAAGTCAGATGTTCATAACCTGGGGACTGCCTGTAGAGGTGGGAGAAAGTGGAAAAGGTATCAGAGAAAGGTAGGCTTTACTGGGATCCATTTCACTACTGTCCTAGTCAGACTTCAAATATTTCCAGTACCACAGATGTGGATATTGTTTGAGGAGATGGATGCATCCACCATCTGATGCCACTAGATACTTTCCTTTGACACCATCCTTTTCCTGATTCCATGTGCACCAAGCATCTTACTCAGACACAAGAATATACTTGATGTCTTCCATGTCTGCCTTGGTGACCACAAGGAGGGATTGCACTGACAACACCAACACAATGTATTTCATGTGTCAGTGATATTTTGTTATAATACAATTAGTGTTCTGGCGTCTGCCTGCAGCACATTGTGTTTTGGTTACTTTGAGTCTCTCAGGGCCTGATAATCCTTGGAGATGAAGAGCAGCAAGAATAAAGCCAGCTCTGGCTTTCCAACTCAGCTCTACTACTTCCTGATGTTCATATATTCTTCTGACTTATCCATTAATAGTGTAGCAAATCTTGTAATAGGGCAAAAAGCAGTGTGCATCTGATCATGCCGAATCACTTGTCAATACTGCACTTTTGATTCTTATGCAGCATTTTATCTTATTTTAAAAAATAGATCCAGGGAGAATATGTGATGGAAAGGTAAAAGAACATCAGTTCTTGGAAAAATGGTTATTTCTTAATGCTAATAGTGGCACACTCAAGTGTCACAGCTCTGTTTTCCACAACTCCTTTGCAACACTTTACTGCTCTTCTGCGTGTCTGTAACCCCACTTTGGAAAACACTGTCCTATAGTGTTCTTGAAGCAGAAAATAACTTATTCAATAGATATTTTATCAAATTAAATATTGTGCACTAGGTTCTGAGCTAAGGGCTTTACTTATACTCTAAATTAAGCTCAATATCTCTCCATCAGAAAGATATCACAAGGTAACACAAGTTGGAAATGTTGGAATTTGAACCAAAATCTGTCTTCCTAAGATGCTACTTTAAACTACTACCTAGTAGTTAAGAGCACTCTACTAGCTATGTAATTTTAACCCTTCACCCCAGGTAAGAGGAATATTATTAGGTCTCAAACCCTCCATTAGGGTATCCTTATTTGTAAGTAGTATAATGAATTCATATGAATTTATTACCCATAAAAATGGAGGGTAGTAGGTTAAATGTCATATGATTGTGAAATCAAAAGGGAGGATTATCACTTTGTTTTCTTGTTTGTTAACATCGAGTTGATCCTATCTCATGGGAACCCCATGTGTGCAGAGTAGAACTACTCCATAGGGTTTTCAAGGTTGTGAACTTTCGGAAGCAGATCTCCAGGCTTGTCTTCCAAGTCAAGCTTAACCAGGGACAGACATTGTAGTTGCCTGGGATGGTGTAAGTGTTCTTATTGGTTTAATGACACAAACAGGTTCAAACCCACCCAGTGGTACCGTGGGAGAAAAGGCCTGGTGATCTGCTTCTGTTAAGATGACAGCCAAGAAAACCTTATGGAGCAGTTCTACTCTGTAACACTTGGGGTCACCATGAGTTGGAGTCAACTCGGTAGCAACCAATAATAACAACAACAACATGGCAGAAAGACTGGAGCTCAGACTGTCTTCCTTGGCCACTGCCTGGCAAAGTCAGCCTTTATTGTTGTTATTTCTAAAGCAATACATGTTCATTACAGAAAAATCAGAAAATGTATACAAGAAAAAGAAACAAAACAAAAAACACCCACAATCTTATTTACTCCAGAATAACTACTTTTATCACTCTGATTTGTATGCTCACAAACCCCATTCTCTCTGAGTGTATTTCATGTATGTGTGGTGTGTAGAATTTTTTAGTGTTTCTAATTTTAAGTGGAATCACATGATGCACACAGTTCTGTAGGCAGCTTTTTTTGTTTGATGTATTGTAAACATATTTGCATATGAGTTTTTCAGACTTGACTTTTCTGAACTTCAAGTTTCCCAGGTGTATAAAAGCAAGTAGCTGCGAGGATCAAATGAAATAATGTATGTAAAAGCATTTTGTTAAGGCTTTATTATTAATAGAGTAGATTAGTTTTGTTTTTATTGTTGTGCTAAATTAGTCCTTTTTGTAGAAGTGCTTTTTGAAATGATCTCGCTAAGAGCCCTTTCATTAAATTAGTAAATTCATAGTTTTTTAAAATGCCTGTGTCCCCTGAAATCTTTGAGACTGACAATCTATGTCTTTGGGTCCCCCATGCCTGTCATAATTCCTGGCCCATAATTATTGAAATTAATATTTGTTGTTACCACCTCTGAATGTTTTAGAAGTGATCTGTTGTTCTTAGATTAAGTTAATACCAAAATGTGCTGCTGAGAGTTTGTTTTTTTTTAACATTACTTCTCCAGAAGTATAATTTCCAAGTATGTTTTGGAACAATAACTTACAATAGGCAATGTTTATACAAATGTAAATTATTTAATATTGAAATCTTTTTACTCTTCTGAGCTGGTGTTCTTTGGATCTTGATTATTCTTTGTTTTAAACCAATTTAAGAATTTTTAAAAGTGTAAATAATACTAATCTCTACTGTTCTATAACCAGTCTTATTTAAATGGAAAGAAATTGTTTGAAAACTACATACTTTTCAGATCTGAAAGGATAGTATCTTAGTTATCTAGCACTGCTGTAACAGAAATACCACAAGTGGATGGCTTTAATAGAGAGAAATTTACTCTCTCACAGTCTAGGAGGCTAGAAGTGCAAATTCAGGGTGCCAGCTTCAGGGGAAGCCTTTATCTCTGTGTCGGCTCTGGGGGAAGGTCCTTGTTATCAATCTTCCCTGGTCAAGGAGCTTCTCAGCACAGGAACCCTGGGTCCAAAGGATGCGCTATTCTCCTGGCTCTTGTTTCTTTGTGGTATGAGCCACCCCTCCCTGCATGTCCCCCCCATCTCTTTGCTGGCTTCTCATATTTCAAAAGAGATTGACTTAAGACACAACCTAATCTTGTAGATTGAGTCCTGTCTTATTAGCATAACTGCCATCAATCACACCTCATTAACATCATAGAGACAGGATTTACAACGCATAGGAAAATCACATCAGATGACAAAATGGTGGACAATCACACAATGCTGAGAATCATGGCCTAACCAAGTTGACAGATATTTTTGGGGGACACAATTCAATCCATGACAGATACGAATATGGAAACTGACTCTGAGAGAAGGAATACATTATACAAAACCAAACCAAACCTGTTGACGTCTAGTCAATTCTGACTCATAGTGACCCTATAGGACAGAGTATAACTATTTTCTTCTTTTTTCTTAACTATGTTTTCTGTAATGACAGGCATTGCTTTTGTAACTGGGAAAGGAAACTCATTTTTTAAAACTATCCTTTTTCTAAAGTTTATAATCCACCTATAAATGGGCAATTAAAAGATAAAAATTATATTTATTATGAATTATGGGAAAAGTTTTTATTATCCAGTGTTATAAACTGAAATTGTCAGGAATATTTTTCTTATGAATTCCTTGATATTTTTATTTTACAGATGCCCTATTTTAATCTTATGGAGAGTTTAACATCTTCCTTTCCAAATGTGTGTAGGATATCATGGTAAGTTTATGATCCGTATTCAACTACTAAAATTATTACTCCTATTGCTAGTAAGTTTCTATTCTCAATCGTAGTGGGCTAGTCCAATAAATGTAATGTGTTGGTTAACTAAATGCCATGCATCTCTTCTGTGTGATCTCTCCCTTTTCAAAAACTGGAAATATAGTAAAATTTAAACTCAATCTAGCACCACAGTGAACATAGTTTAGCGTTTCTTCGATTTTGTAGGGTCTCAAAGTCCTGGTTGGAAACCCTGGTGGTGTAGTGGTTAAGATCTATGGCTGCTAACCAAAAGGTCGGCAGTTCATATCCACCAGACACTCCTTGGAAACCCTGTGGGGCAGTTCTACTCTGTCCTTTAGGGTCGCCATGAGTCGGAGTCAACTCGATGGCAACAGGTTTTTTTTTAAAGTCCTGGTTGTAAAAATGAACTGTTGGTGCACTGTTTAGCAAGAACAAAATTCTGTATGTTTTTCTAAATCATAATGATCTTTTGGATTCATGCTTAATTTCCCGTAAGTATTTGGGCTTAATTTTTCATCATCTAACTCTAGTACATGTATGTGTGTATATATGTGTCTATATCATTTTTACTTAAAAATGAAGTCGTCTCGATAGAATAGCACTCAGTCTTACGTTGTGTGCACTCTTGCTGGTCCCAGGTTTCATCATACAGCACCAGCAGTGTGCTGTTGCAGTAAAACACGGAGCGGTGAGAAATACACCGATCCTTTTAAACTTGGCTGGAGAGACTTGAAAGGTCTGTATGAGGACATTAGAAAGGTAAGATCTTTGACTGTGCTGTCAAGTCATGTTGATTTTTAGAGTTATGAAAAGCCCGTGCAGTTTTTTACATAAGCACGATGCCATTACAAACCTGGTTTGTGCACGTCAAGTTTCAAATGTTTCTTGAGCAACAGCTATGTACAACCTTATGCTGGGCAATTTTGAGGATGTCATGCATGTTACTGTCCAGGAGGAGGTTCTTGCAGGGTTGGGGAACTGAAAAAATGCTATCAGCAGTATACATAGTTGTGACATGAATTACCTCACTCTTCCATCATTTCCATCACCTGCTGCAAGCTTATTGAAAAATGAAGCTTCCCAATGGCTCCTGCTATTGTCTTCCTCATCTAAGTCTCAGTATCGGTGCCCCAAGTTCTACTTTTTCCCAAAAACTTTCAGTGGCCCCCAGCCTCACATGGATTCTAAAATGCTGCCCACAAATATTCACATCCCCCTTGTCAGCTTTCAGATTTCTCCACTTTCTTCAAGCCCCCACCCTACTAACTCTCAGATTCTCATAGCGGCATCACCTCCTATTTAATAGACAAAATAGAGGCCATGAGGCAGGAGCTCTCTCCACTCCTGCTCTGTCTCCGTGGATAAGCTTGTCTGCATGCCTCTACATGCTCAAGTTCTTCCCTCCCATCTCAGTGAAGAGTGTGTTTCCCCTTCCTTCCTAAGGGCAGTCGCTTTACCTCCATGCAAGTCCCATCCCCTTTGTCTCCTCTTCAGTTCCTTAGAACCTGGTCCAGCAATGGTCTGCTGCCTCTCCTTTATCTGCAAACTCTCCCTTTTTGTTGTCTTTTTCATATCCACTTAAGGTGCTCCAGTTTCTTCATATTCATTTTTAAAAGGACCTTCCCTTCCTTTACAGTCAAATTTCTTAGAATTCTTTACCCTCTGTTTCTCTTCGGCACCTCTATATTTGCTGCGCCATTGCATTGTGGCTTCCTCTCCAGCTTCTCCTCTGTAACTGCTTTTGTTAGGGTCATCCATAATTTCCTGTTACTAAGTGCAATGACACCTTTTGGTTTTTATCTCTCTTGACTTTTTTGACACTGTTGACAATTCCCTACTTAAAACTCTGTTCCCCTCCCTTCCGCACTTTCCTGGCTTTCCTCATTCTTAGGCCATTCTTCAGTTTGCTTCATGAGTTCCTTTTTTATCACCTCCACCCCACCCCACCCCAGTGTCAATCAGTTCCCATGGAGTTGACTCAAACTCATGACAACCCCATGTGTGTCAGAGTATAACTGTGCTCCATAGAGTTTTCAGTATTTTTCGGAAGTAGGTTGCCAGGCACCTTTGGGTAGACTCAAACCTCCAATCTTTCGGTTAGCAGCCAAGCACACCAACTTTTTGCACCACCCAGGGACTCCCTTCTATACTTAGGACTCCCCAATAATATCTCTAAAATCAGTTGCCATCAAGTTGATTCCAACTCATGATGACATGATATGTGTCACAATAGAACTGTGCTCCATAGGGTTTTAAATAGCTGATTTTTCAAAAGTAGAACTCCAGGCCTTTCTTCTGAGGCTTCTCTGGGTAGACTCGAACCCCTCCCCTTATGGTAGCAGCTGAGGGAATTAACTATTTGCACCCCAGGGTGGTACAAGAGTCGGAGTCGATTCAGTGACAACTGGTGACTGGTCATTAAATCTTCTCTCCTAAGCCCATATACCTAAGTGCTTACTGGGCAACTCAAAGAAGCATCCATGACTATCTCAAGATTAACGTTTCTGAAACTATACTTTTCCGCCATGAATTGTTTTTTGTCCTGTGTTCCCTGTTCATTGAAGGTACCACCCAGGGACCTGGGAAGGATCCTTGACCTCTCCCTCTCCACATAGTTCTAGTCTCTTTCGTTTAGTCCTTACCACCTTGGTCAGGCCACCCTCATTTCTGTTGTCAAGAATATCAAGAATGAAAATTCTTACTATCCTCTTCCTTGTCTCAGCCTGAGCCAGAGGTCCCTCATTTGTGCTCCTGGGGTGACTGCTTACCTCAGTGAGAGCACCTTTCACATTGTATAGTGTTAAATTGCTATTATTGTTTTACTTCTCCTTGTCTAGATTCTGAGCTCCTTGCAAGCAGGGGGCTGACTTACTTATCTTCGTAACCTCTGTATTTATTAAAGTGTTTGGCATCGGGTCGGTTGTTCAGTGAGTTAATGACTGACCCTCTGGGTCATGTTCACTTGCGCCTGGCTGAGGTGGGTCGTTCTTAGCTCCCACTGCTTCTGGGGGATAAGTCTCATTCAGTCAAGCAAGCCTTTGAGCAGCAGATACAACAAACACACACTCATATACCATCACCTGCAAGGTTCGCCTTCCTCTTCACAACTCAGAATCCTATTTCTTCTGATCCTGGGTTCAAGCATATCTCCACCATGAAATGTTCAGTTTTTCTAGCCCACACTGATCTCTCCCTTCTCTGAACTTTGAAGGTACTTAATGTGCCATATTGCTCAGGTTAGCAGAATATTATTCACTGAATATTTTATATTTTAAAGTTTTGTCTCTCCAACTTAATTGTAAGCTCCTTGCCATCAGGCCAACCATTTCTTATACTTCCTCTATGAACCTTTAAATGTCTTTAGGTAATAAAGGCTGAGCCAGACATACTAACCCTACTTCTTCTCCCCCCACCGCAATCTTATCTGCCCCTAATACACAGCTTTGCCTCCCACCCAGGACACCCCCAGCCTCCTGCTTCATAGGCTCCCAGCAGGCCCTGGCTCTCACCCTCACTTCTTTCTCGTCACCCCTCCATGCTTCTAGATGCTAACCAGCCCCTGTTCCTTTCTCTACACAGCTGTCCTTTCCTCTCCTGCTTACTATTGAACTCATCTGGTGTTTAGAAGTGTCACTGGGCAGTGGCAGTACCTGCTTCTAGCACTTCTGTCCTCAGGGCCAAGCCAGTCATTGCTCATGGCCTGGCCTTCAGGGCAGCCAGGTTTCTGGCCATACAGTGTTAGAATCTTTTCCAACTGAACATTGAATTTCTCAATTGAGATGCATACACTGTAATCAAATAAAAATTTTGAAGAAGAAATGGAATTCTTCCATCCTATTGACTTTCTGTGCAATTGGTGAAGCCATTTTGACACAGAGAAACTTTGTTTCAGGAACTACTCATATCTACAACAGAACTTAAGGAAATGTCTGAGTACTACTTTGATGGAAAAGGAAAAGCCTTTCGACCAATTATTGTGGTACTAATGGCCCGAGCATGTAATATTCATCATAATAACTCCCGGTGAGTTACCTCCTTTCACTCCTCCTTCGTTTTTATATTTGGGAATTCTTCTTTCCCAGGGTTACCATTTACCTTCCCTTTTAATGAATAGCATATATGTAAGAATTCACGTTGTTATTAGTAGATTCTCACTAAGTCGCTTCTTAATCTAGCCTGGGCAGCATCCTTTTCTAGACTTTTTAATGTCCATTGAAGAACAACTTCAGCTGGAAATAAACATCTAAGAAAGAATTTATTTTAAATAGTTTTCTCATTAAGAAGTAAAGACCAGGATGTTTACATACGTTTAATCATACACACAGGGCAGTTAGTCCAAAGGTTGATTGTTGTAAAGTGAATAGCTGCTCCATTATTCTGTACAACACACCCTGGACTTCCTGCCTTCTGTGACCTTCTGAAACGTTTAAAAGAGAAATCATTCTTAAAAGGGATATTTTGACTATTGGTCCTCAACTTTTGTTTTGAATATATGTACATTTTTGAAATATTAATACAACTGCAACCTTTTAATGTTAAAGGACACATTCAAAAGAAAAAAGATATATCCATTATCCCCTCTTCCCTTCCACTCTTTGTATTTAGTCATTCAATGTATATAATTTTGTGTTCTGCTTTGTTTACTCACCATTATTTCTTAAACTCTTTCCCCTATTGCCTGTGTCTTCAGAGTTATTTTAACATCATATAATCTATTGATTGAAACTCCAATAGACTATAATGTACTAATACATTTTCCTATTGTTGAACATTTGTATTATATTTCATTTTCTTAATAGGTAATATTTCAAGGAACGAGTAAGATATTTCTCAGCACGAATTTAAGGATTTCTCAGCACGAATTTAAGGATGCCGTCAGTAAGAACGAGGGTCAGATAGTTTCTTCACTTCTTTCTGCAGTACATGACACTATATTCTCGGGGTTGGCATCCAGTAGACCTGAGACTTTACAAGACCTCAAAACTGCATTCTCAACTAGCAATGAAATCTCTGGCAGTGATTTCTTTTTTGTTGTTTAAAACAACAGAGATTTAATCTTTCACAGTTTGGAGGTTGGAAGTTCAAAATATAAGTTGTCCGCAGGGCCATGCTCCCTCCAGAGGCTCTAGAGGAAGATCCTTCCTTACTTCTTCCTAACTTTTGATTATTGCTGGCAGTCCTTGACATTCCTTGGCTTATAAGATTCATCACTTCAATCTTGGCCTCCACCATCAATGGCATTCGTCCTGGGTATTTGCTGTGTCCAATTTTTTCTCCTTTTATATGGACACCAGTCATTAAATTAAAGCCCAGTGTAATCTGGTATGACCTCATCGTAACTTGATTACATATGCAAAGACCCTATCTTTATTTATTTATTTTTTACTTTTTTCTTCTTTTAATTTTTTTTTTAATTGTTGTAGTTTAAATGAAGTTTACATTTCAAGTTAGTATCCCGTACAAAAACTTATACATACTTTGTTATGTGACCCTAATTGCTCTCCCCATACTGTGACAGCACACTCCTTTCCACGCCTGATTCTCCATGTCCATTCAACGAGCTCCTAACCCTCTCTGCCTTCCCATCTCACATCTGGACAGAAGCTGCCTGTTTAGTCTCTTGTATCTACTTGAGCTAAGAGACACATTGCTCATGAGTATCACTTTATGTCCCACAGTCCAGTCCAATCCCTGTCTGAAGAGTTGGCCTCGGAAATTGTTTTATATCTGGGCTAATAGACAATGCAGGAGCCATGCTTTCCGGGGTTCCTCTACTCTCAGACCATTAAGCCTGGTCTTCTTACTAGAATTTGAGTTCTGCACCGCACCTTTTTCCTGCTGTATCAGGGACTTTCTGTTGTGCTCCCTGCCAGGGCGGTCATTGGTGGTAGCCGGGTACCAGCTAGTTCTTCTGGTCTCGGGCTGATGAAGTGTCTGGCTTATTTGGCCCTTTCTGTCTCTTGGACTAATACTTTCCTTGTGTCTTTGGTGTTCTTCATTCTTCTGTTATCCAGGTGGTTGGGACCAATTGATGCATCTTAAATGGCCGCTTGGAAGCTTTTAAGACCCCAGACACCACTCACCAAAGTAGGATGCAGAACATTTTCTTAATAAGCTTTGTTATGCCAGTTGACCTAGATGTCCCCTGAAAGCATGGTCCCCAGATCCCTACCCCTGCGACTCTGTCTCTCAAAGTGTTTGATTGTATTCAGGAAATTTCTTACCTTTGGTTTAGTCCGGTTGTGCTGACTTCCCCTGTAGTGTGTGCTGTCCTTCCCTTCACCTAATATAATTCTTATCTACTATCTAGTTAGTAAATAACCCTCACTCCCCCCCCCACCCTTGTAACCATCAAAGAATGTTTTCTCCTGTGTTTAAACCTTTTCTTGAGTTCTTATATTAGTGGTCTTATGCAATATTTGTCCTTTTGGGACTAAGTAAATTCACTCAGCATAATGAGTTCCAGATTCCTCCATGTTAAAGATGTTTCATGGCTTCATTGCTGTTCTTCATCGTTGCGTAGTATTCCGTTGTGTGGATATGCCAGAATTTGTTTATCCATTCATCCGTTGATGGGCATCTAGGTTGTTTCCATCTTTTTGCTATTGTGAACAGTGTGGCAGTGAACATGGGCGTGCACATATCTATTCGTGTGACGGCTCTTATTTCTCTAGGATATATTCCAAAGAGCGGGATAGCTGGATCATGTGGTACTTCTATTTCTAGCTTTTTAAGGAAGCGCCAAATCAATTTCCAAAGTGGTTGTACCATTTTACATTCCCACCAACGGTGTATAAGTATTCCAGTCTCTTCACAACCTCTCCAGCATTTATTATTTTGTGTTTTTTGGATTAATACTAGCCTTGTCAGAATGAGATGATATCTCATTGTAGTTTTGATCTGCATTTCTCTAATGGCTAATGATTGTGAGCATTTCTTCATGTGTCTGTTAGCCACCTGAATATCTTCTTTGGCAAAGTGCCTGTTCATATCCTTTGCCCATTTTTTAATTGGGTTATTTGTCTTTTTGTTGTTGAGGTTTTGCAGCATCTGGTAGATTTTTAGAGATTAGATAGTGACCGGATTTGTCATAGCCAAAAATTTTTTCCCAGTCTATAGGTTGTCTTTTAACTCTTTTGATGAAGTCTTTTAATGAGCATAAGTGTTTGATTTTTAGGAGCTCCCATTTATCTAGTCTCTCTTCTGGTGCTTGTGGATTGTTACTCATGGTTCGTATTGTGTTTATGCCATGTATTAGGGCTCTTAGTGTTGTCCCTATTTTTTCTTCCATGATCTGTATCGTTTTTTATTTTATATTTAAGTCTTTGATCCATTTTGAGTTAGTTTTTGTGCATGGTGTGAGGTATGGGTCTTGTTTCAGTTTTTCACAGATGGATATCCAGTTATGCTAGCACCATTTGTTAAAGAGACTGTCTTTTCCCCAATTAACAGGCTTTGGGCCTTTGTGAAGTATCAGCTGCTCATAGGTGGATGAGTTTATGTCTGGATTCTGTTCTGTTGGTCTCTGTATCTGTTGTTGTACATATACTACCATAGTTTTGACTACCATGGCGGTATAATAGGTTCTAAAATCAGGTAGTGTGAGGCCTCCCACTTTGTTCTTCTTGAATAATGCTTTATTTATTCGGGGCCTCTTCCCTTTCCATGTGAAGTTGGTGATTTGTTTCTCCAACTCATTAAAAATTTCCAGTGGAATTTGGATCGGGATTGCATTGTATCTGTAGATCACTTTGGGTAGAATTGACATTTTCACTATGTTGAGTCTACCTATCCATGAGGAAGGTATGTTTTTCCACTTATGCAGGTCTTTCTTGGTTTTTTGTAGTAGTGTCTTGTAGTTTTTCATTGTATAGATCTTTTATGTCTCTGGTTAGATTTATTCCTAAGTATTTTATCTTCTTGCGGGCTATTGTAAATGGTATTGATTTGGTAATTTCCTCTTCGAGGTTCTCTTTGTTGGTGTAGAGGAATCCAACCGATTTTTGTATGTTTATCTTGTATCCTGAAACTTTGCTGAAATCTTTTATTAGTTCCAGTAGTTTTCTTGTGGATTCTTCGGGGTTTTCTGTGTATAAGATCATATCATCTGCAAAAAGAGATACTTTTACTTCTTCCTTACCAATTTGGATGCCGTTTATTTCTTTTTCTAGCCTAATTGCTCTGGCTAGGACCTCCATCACAGTGTTAAATAAGAGTTGTGATAGAGGGCATCCTTGTCTGGTTCCC